GTGTGTGTGTCTGTCTGTGTGTGTGTCTGTGTGTGTGTCTGTGTGTGTCTGTGTGTGTCTGTGTGTGTGTCTGTGTGTGTGTCTGTGTGTGTGTCTGTGTGTGTCTGTGTGTGTCTGTGTGTGTCTGTGTGTGTCTGTGTGTGTCTGTGTGTGTCTGTGTGTGTGTCTGTGTGTGTGTCTGTGTGTGTCTGTGTGTGTCTGTGTGTGTCTGTGTGTGTCTGTGTGTGTCTGTGTGTCTCTGTGTGTGTCTGTGTGTGTCTGTGTGTGTCTGTGTGTGTCTGTGTGTGTCTGTGTGTGTCTGTGTGTGTCTGTGTGTGTCTGTGTGTGTCTGTGTGTGTCTGTGTGTGTCTGTGTGTGTGTGTGTTCTTGTGCCGATTTGTCAGGACGGTGTTCGTGAAGTCAAGATTGTGACCCTGCAAGTAGTTCTTGTATTTGCGTGTGGCAGCCCATGTGGCAACCTAAAATGCGAGGGCCCCTGTCAATGACTTAGGAGAGGCTTGCAATGTCACCAGTGATGTACAACATGGCGCACGTGACATCTCTCTTCACATGGCACGTCACCATTGGCCTTGGCTTCCCCACTTTGTCACTTCTGGCAAGAGCCAGGGCAGAATTTTACGAACGTTGAAGCAGCACCGCCAAGGCGGAACGCAGTGATGCCCCCCTCGGCCTTACTCTGACCGGTGCACCGGCCCACACGCCTTAAGAGCGTGTGTCATCGATGCTTGGCGCCATAGGTTCCCCGGTGGAAACAAACCGGCGCAAAAGACCCCATGCGCGGGCGTGTTTGTGCGTTTGCAATCGTGCTTGTATTTAAGTCTGCTTGCGTTTGGCTCTAAGCAATTCCATTTGCGCCCCTGGAGTTCTCAGCACGGAAGATGACGCATCGCCTTTGGAGTTGAAATCTGTTCCGCCATTCAAGGAAACTACCACTTGCGAGCCACGGATTGTAGGTTCGGACGGTAGGCATTAAATTGCCGACGTTTGCGGTAGGGTTGCTCCCCACTATGAGTTTCTGCTTTCTTGAGGGCAGCCCTTTTGGGTGGGCCTCGGGGGCGGGTGGAGGTTGGTTTAAACGGAAACCACAGCAGCCCAGTTTGGGGGCTTAGCCTGGTTCAAAGGGCTGGGGGCCAGGGCCCATTGTTTTGGCAGGGCCAAATGCCACGGTTGCCTTTGGCCATTTATAGATTCTAGTCGGCAGAGGATTTCAGCCTTGGGGTTTGAAGCCGGTCACAACGTTTCCAGTTCACATGCCTCAGCTGTGATTGGAATACGCACGGGTGTGCCACGGACGGGTGTGAAACAATGTGGGACCCTCACAGTTTTGGGAAGAAGGGCCTGACTGAACAAAGTAACATGAGCAGGAAGCTTGGCCGACAGAACCTTCTGAACCTCTTCAGAAAACTTGTCCAAATGCCAGATCTTTGCATACCCCCATGCCCAATGTCGTGCTTCCCTGTGTGCGAGTGAATGTCGAATGCGAAATGGCGCTGCCATGTGACCAAAGGGGGAGAACTATGTCTTGAACTACCTAATGTCCGTGGCTCATATGAGGCACAACCACGCTGCTGCCACGGGTTGTCCCCTGCTGCCAACGCTGCCCCCATGGTCGTAGTGTCCTCGCGGTGTTCACTTTGCCACGGCTCTTTAGAGCCATAGCAAGGTCGGATTGCCATGGGCACTGGGTCTCACCACAGAAACCCCACATTGAGGAGTACATGCCCGGCAGAGGGTAAATAAGCTCTGAAAGAAGGAAGGCTTTGTGTCGTGTTTGTTGCTTTGAGGTTGGTTCCCTTTCGGCCTGTTGCAAAGCGAAACAACTTAAGTAATCCTTCTGCCTGATAGTTTGGGGTGCATTGGTCAATAGGGGAAATATATGTTACGGGTGTGTCTTGAAACAGGGGAACCCCCAAAATGAGTTGTCCTTTGGACTCCTCTCAAAGCAGCCCACAAAAAGATACCATTACAAACGACGGCAATTCCAAATTACCCTTGGATGCGCCTTCGTCTAGCTGAGCGATTTTTACTGCTATGAGGAGATCAATGGGAGCTGGCACTGGGCATGCTTAGCCGCCCGCTGAGTGATGACTCGTCCTTGGTGTTTCCCAAGTGTCTGTGTGTGTGCGGGGTGTGCTGGGGTGTGTGGGGTGGGAGTTGCGGGGTGTGGGGTGGGGGTGGGGTGCCGGGTGTGGGGTGGGGTGTGGAATGGGGTATGGGGTTTGGGTGTGTGGATCATGGTGATCTCGCCGGAAAACAGGCAAAGAGATGCAATTTCAGCTTTCAGATCTGCTGTGGCGGCCCAATTTGAAGCGGCTTAGGGAAACAAACAAGAAGCCACCCAGGAGGGCCCATCATTTTGAGACACCGTTTGGAATGGGGTGGGTGGGTATTAAATTCTTCACTCATATGGATTATGGTAGAAGCCGTCCATTTTCAAGGTCCATCATGTCCAGAATTCGTGTGGCAGTGAATTCTTGAAGCGCCTGCCTTGCGAGTCAATTGGCCATATGGTTCGGAGTCAGCACTCAGCTTGCCAAATAGTGTTGACAAAACCTACCAGTGGGATGGGTGAACTTGTATGAACACCGGGATAAACAGAGGTTGGAGTGTGGCCAGCCAAACGCCTCGAGGTGAGCTGAGCGCTCCCAATGTGGCGGTCTTCGGAGTTCAAGGCTCAGAGTGCATGCTGCAATCGGCTGTGAGGACAGGGTTCCCCATATTTCCCTTTTGGTTAAAGACCTTTTTGGTCACAAATTCCTTTTGGCCAGTTTCCTTTTAGGGGTGCAAGGTCAGAATGTTCCGGGTCCCTGGACTATTGGTGTGCTGAACTTCAAGGCCTTCCCGCAAAACATGGAACCCCACAAATCCCCTACAAGGAGATTCCTCTACAAAAGGATCGTCAGGTTCCATGTTGGGAAAACTAATTTATTCCCTTGTTGTTTACAAAGTTGGCATCACTTTGGCTGAGCTTTCGTGAGCTTGTAGTTTCGTGTTTCCCCTTTTGCGACTCCGGAACGAAGGATCCGGAAGCAGGAAGCAGGTGCCTACTGCGAAGCTACTGCCGCGGCCCTCATATGCATGCCTTTGGGAGAGGCACCGCAATCATTTCTACAACTCTTTAGGGCTACAAAGGACGAAGGCTCTGCACATTAAGTTCTGCGCTTCACCTTCATGCATGCTTGCACGCAAGACAGATATATCCAATCACCTGCACTCAAATGGGAACGTTCGAATTCCTCCCCAATACATGGTTTTGGCACATTGTTGAATGCCTTGGAAAACATAAACGAAGCCTCATGGGTTTTGTGTTTGCTCGGGGGTGACTGAGAGTGGTTCTTGGCTGTTCAATCTCAGCCCTCAATTCTTCCGTTGGGTTGGCAATGGGGGTGGGTTCGAACAGGGGAAAGAACTCTTTCAAACAATATGCCCTGTAAAGGGAAGCCGCAAGTTAGTCAATTGTTCAAGAAGGATTGGACCCTCCGTTTTGAATCAGCGCCTCTGACTGTAAGTCGTTTGCCGAAGCCCTTTCCAATGGCATGTTCCCAGCCCGGTGGCAGATTTTTCCCGGAGACCTCCGAATAAATTTCCCGGCTCAGGTCATGTTGCGGGCTTGCCGCGGGCAGAGGCTGACCGCGCCAGGGCCCAAGACGGTCTGATCCAGGGGGGCGGGGGGGGGGAGGCGTTGGGTGGTTTTGGAACATGGGTGCCGTGGTTTGTCGCGGTGCCGCGTTTTACTTTGGCCACGGAAACTATCAAACCACGTTTCGCTTAGTCCCTTAACTTGACACATACCGATACCCGGAGTGAGTCGCACTGCACCTTTTAAGAAAGTTCCACGTGAGCTCCTTGGGTGATTGAAGCGACAATTAGGCAACCTAGTTGGAATTGGGCGGCTTGGGCCTATTAGTTCCGTCTCATGAACTTTCTTGAGGCTTGATGTGGGATTCACGATCCATACCCTCAGCGTCGGAGCTTGCTGGCTGTCTCTTCATTGGGCTGGGTTTTTGAACAAATGGGTTGCGTTTTGTTGGGTACTCTTTGGGGGTTCTAGACGGAAACCAAAACGAAAACCATTTAGGGGTCCCGTATTCAGAGACACACCCAGCAAATGCTTTCCCGGTCGCAAGCGGTAGCAAATGCCGCTAAAGTGCGCATTAGCCCGGGAAAAGCGTTTTCACTTCCGTTGCGCAAGGTTTTGGCCAAGTTCAAAGGCTGTTTTTGCTGTCGAGTGGTTTGGTTATCGAGGTTGTAAACCTGAAATCAGGTTTAACAGTGAGTTTTACAGTTGGGTGAATGAGCGCAATTCCGAATGCCAATTTTGGTCACTAGTCATTTTTGTTTGCTTAGCCACAAGGAAAGCACGTGCCATCTACCATCAACTTGGTGTGTTTTCTTTCAGGGTGCCTTTTTTTGGCTGCTTTCAAGGGGAAGCCGAAGGAAACTAACCATGCTTGGGTACCTCTATTTTACGACACACCCAAATTGGTGTAGAACCCTATCAACCAACGAGAGGCCTTCTGCTTTCAGCTGCCAGGTGGCTGCTTTTGGAGCGCATGGTGCGCCAGAGTGTTCCGCAGCTTGGAATCCAAAGTTTTAGCGCAGCCCCAAAAATCCGATACAGCTTCTCCAAACAGGATTTGGACCCCTTTGGTAAAAAGAAACCAACAAGACACCTGGAAGCCTTCCCAATTTTGAGAAACACCCAGGGTTAAGGTAGCTGTTGCTCCCCACGCACCGGCGGCAAACTGGTGATGAGAAACCAGGGTGAACTTTGCGCTGGATGCAGCTGCTTGCCCCTGCAGAGTCTTTAGTTGCCCATTTGCTTCGAGGGCAAGTAAAATCACGGGACGGGCAAGGGCCAGCTGGAACTGGCAAGGCCCAATGCCACCTGCCTGGCAGAGGCGCGGGGTGTCGGAAGCCAGGTTACCGCTTCGGAGGGTTTCCCATGGCTGCTTGGGGGTTAAGTGTTGGTGACCCAAGCTGATTTCTAGCTTTGTGACATGGCAGCGGTGGCTTTCACTCGCAAGCATGGGCGTCAAAGAATGCGGCCACACAAGACATGAAACCAGTGTGAAGTCAAGCGTTGGAAGGGCTCCCACTTTTTACCTGTTGGCTCGAGCTTTCTCAGGGCGAGGAAACTCTCTTGCCCGCCATGTGGCAGCTGCTGTTGCTGGCAGCGGCCTTTGCGCAGGAAGTGTGCGAAGACTCTTCCCTGCTACAAACAGCCCCTGGCGCGTCCGGCCTTCTGGCCGCTGTGGAATTGGCAGCGGAAGAACATGTCATCAAGCAATGGTCACTCACGCCAGGTGGGGGGCAGAGGAAACCAAGAGATGCCGAATATTGCGCATGTTGTGAAAGTCTGAGCCGGATGTGGTGTGATTATCCGTAGGTTGTTTGGCGACCACTGTATTCTTGGCACTGATGGTGGGTTAAAGGAGTAGCGTGTAGAGCAGGGTCTCAGACCAAGCCGTTTTGAAATTTCCCTATACTGAAAAGGTTTGAAATGGTTGCTGGAGGTTTTCAAAGCCCTGATTCTTGTGGAGTAAATGGGACCAGCCCTAACCTCCAAACTATCAATTCAAAGCACCAATGAGTGGGAAGCTGATGTATCCATGCTCCAAAGTTGTTTTTGGTTCGCCCACTTCCATGTATTTCAGGAGCACTCGCAAGCGTGTAAGGCCCAAGTAAATGAACAACTGGCTTCCTGCAGTGAACAATTAGGTGTAGGCACACTTTGCGCATGCCAAGGGAACCTCCTTTGAAGGGACAAAGTAGTCATACCAGGGAAAGTGTTGTTTCCCACAACCGTGCCTGGCTGTTTGCTGCTTGGCCAACTTGGTTTTGCTTCCAAGTGGAGTTATCCCAGTACTTCCCAGAGAGGTTGATGGCCCCCTTAGCCAAACCATCTGCGGCCAAGTGGATGGAAACTGACAGGTACTTTCATAGGCATGGTGTTCGGCAGTGCGGCCTTCGCCGCATGGGAGTGGAGCTGGGGCAAGGAATCCGTCAAGTCCCACCATCTCTTCTCAGACAGATGGGCACTGATCATGATGAGCGCTATGATCCAGGCGGGCAAAGTCCTCCCTAAACCAACCCTTCAGGGAAAAACGGCGAACACTTTTGTGGACCATGCGTATTTCACAAACATGATAATATATGATTTGTGTTTTTTAGCGTACGGCAATTTCCCAAAAGACTGAAAACCGATGTCCATCTTTGGAGTCTAAATCCCGCCTTTTGGTGGCGTCGAACTTTTGAAGTGAGGAGTGAGTCTTTAAAGGGAAATGTTCAGCCTTGCAAAACAAATACCATCATTGTGCTTTGCATGGGTGTCGACTAGTGGCAATTGAGACTTCAATCAAAAGAGCCCTACTGACACATAATTATCGGTACCCTTTTTTGTGGATGGTCGAGAACGGTTCAGAGCATACTACAGATATATGCATATTGTGCAAATACAAATTTACACGATAGTGCAAACATATATACATGTACTGATAATATCTAAAACATACATACACACACAAATATATATATATATATATATTATGTGTGTGTGTGCATCTATGTACACATGTCAGTCGCGTGCATGACCAGGGCCTGACTGCAACCGTCCTCCCACTTAACTCATTTTGATCACCCCATTCGCCATGCGCAAAGCCAGAGGTGGTGTCCGGCTCGGTCTATGCCTTTGGCGCATGGCAGGATGAGCTGCGAAATGCCCTGGGCGTGTCAATGACAGGCACGTAACTGGGAGTCTTTGAATGGTGCTTTAATTTGAGCATCACCGTTTTACGTTTGGGCAACTTCACAAATCACCCAATACCAGTTTGGCAGGGAGGAAGCCAGGCGAATTCGCCTAGGCGTTGATGATGTTCCCGAACCCCGTTTGGTATATTGAGTGGTTGGGTTAAAAAGCATGAGGCTCTGCACGAATTAGCACTTGTTTTACACTTTGGTAGTTCAGCTCGCAATGGCACAAGTTCAAACCGCATCCAGGCTTGCGGTGAAAACGGCGAAAGGTCGCGCAGGAGCTCTCGGCAATCCTCCCATGAGGCCATGAGGGCATATCTATGTCTCCCGAACCAGGCGTGCTTGAGATCTGCTTCAACATCCATCGGACAGGTATTATAAGCCCATGTAGGTCCATGATCCGTTTAGGAGGTGTATGACGTTTATGACGCTATGTAAAATCAAAGGCAGCCAAGTAGACCTTACTGCCACCCAGGGTTTCATAGCATGGACACGTGTCAACTAAACTCACACAACTCAACCCAACCCCGGCCCAACCCAACATCTACCCACCAACACAACCCAATCTCACCCTCCCAACCTCAGCAACGGCAATCCAAGCATTTTGCCCTGGCTTGTTCAAAATCAATCAAATCGTAAATCGTATTCCTTACGCTGGCACAAAAGAGCAGGACAGAAAATCACGGGTGCCCTCAAAAGTGTTTGTGGTTTCCATGCATCAAAACCTGATCCCCCCCAAAAAAAAACAAGAACATATCCAGGCATCACGGTGATTGGTGCGCTGACCTTTGTCGGCAGCTTGGTGGGGCTTTTGGGCGGCATGATCTTCGACCGCTTCGGTCCCAAGACCGCGGTGTCTCTGGGAACCTCCGGGGTCACCGCGGGCAGCTCGACAAGAAGCCCAGTCGGGTCCGGGGTCCGGGGCCACGAGGGTTAGCCTTAACCGAATGGCCAGGGAATGCGCCTTGGGCTTAATCCGACTTAAGTCGGGGGTGGGTTCACCCTACAAAGCCATGGCTTGGGCTCAACCGAATTGAATCGGGGAAGCTGGGTTGGCCTAGAGCCAAAACGGTGGTGGCCAAGATTGTGAACACCCTCGTTCCAATCTCGTTCCAATGATGGAGTTGGACAGGGGGCTGGGAAAGTAGGTCTTGCAACACCCTCAGCGTGCACGACTGTCGCAGGGTAACCAGGCACTCGTTTGATGACTCTTAACTTAGTAGGATGACTGGATCCCCCCACTAAAAGGACATCTCCCCTATGGTCCTCCGGATGGATCCGAAGCTAACATTGCATTGGAGCGCCTGCTGCAAAGCGGGGCAAGCTGAAGCCAAAGGTGCATGCGTGGAGATCAATATTCCGTTCGGCCCCCCATGATCATGAATTTGTCCCAATCATACCTCTTAAAAACACAGCTTTTCAACTTTTGGGGGGTAACATGGGCTATATGTCTGTAAAAGATTAACTTCCCCAGGGCTTGGAGTTTTAAGGGCTAAGCAATATCATGTTTTAGTGGTTTTTCCCCATGGTCATCCCATGTAAAGGACCTTGTAATCAAGCCTCATTTGTTCATCTAGCACGGTCCCGTGTGGCTGTGTTCCAAGTTCATGTGACGCAACACCCTTAATGTGGAGCACATGGCTCATGAGGAGCTGGTCCCCGGCCATTCAACAACAAGCCGCCGGTTTTAAAACCGAACAACCCTCAATTTCAGTTGATCAACATCAATCGCTGGTTTTCGTTGGCTCTTTGGAGGCTAGGTGGTCCCCCTAGAGGATTGGACGCTACCAGATACAAAGCACCAGTTCAGGGGTAGATCAAGCGTTTGCAAAGACGCCAACTATTTCTTGAAGGATTAAGGATACACTGCGGCCACTTCACATTTCGAACCTGACCTTTTCCACCACACCAAATGGTCTCCCCCCCACCCCATTTTGCGGGTACTGATTTGTCCTCCAAACCTATCTCACATAGAATTTGCCAACTTGAAACCACAAAATCGGGCCAGAAAGTAGGCTCGGTACTCAAAAGGAGACCAAGAGGAAAACCCAGGATTTTGCCACAGGTACCCTCTCGGTTTCTCGGAGGGTTTCGTAAACATTGGCCAAAGGCAATCCCTGTTTTGACACATTCCCACAACCTGGGTAACATAGGGGTGCTGTTGGTCTTCCATGTCTTCCTTTAAATTAATCGCCAAACCTCACAATACCCTTAGAAATTTGCCATTGCCCCGAAATTCTCATGTGTTTTCGCTGTAATAGATGGCCACCCGTTATTTGTGGGCTTAAAAGGAAGCCAAAGGGACAACCACCATTCGTATTTGTTGCTTTTTGGGTGGGTCGTACAAAAACACACAGCCCCACCTCTTTTCGCGCTTTTGCCAAGGCTACGCCTTGATTGGCTGGGCAGTAGTCAGCACTCGCCAGACGGAAGCAAAGTTCGCTTTGGCAGCCGCAGGCAGGCTCCGCGCGACTCACATGTCCCGTCACAGGAATTTTCATAGACCCAAAGGGGTGGGTTGGCCAGCTTGGCATCGAAATTATGTGGTTGGAGGACATGTCCAAAACCAATTTTGAGGCTCCCCATTCACCTATTCAGGATTCATAGCCAGATTTTCATGTTTGGCGGTTTTGAACATTGTTTTGTTTTGGGGCCATTTGAAGTGAGTTTGCTTTTGGCAGGGTGATGTGAGGGGGGAACATAGGGACCCTGATTTGAAAGGTCAGCACACTTGAACGAACAAACTTGCAAAGGGCTCCCAAGGGGCTCTCTGTGAGTGGCCAACGGGTTTTCCTTGAAAGTAGTTTTGTTTCGATTGGGAGTCAACCAGTTTGGCATCACAGAACATGTTGATAGCCCACAGCCTTTGCTGGACCGGCTAGACCTGAGAGGTCAAACATATCTGGGGCCGTCTGGAACACGGAAACTTAGAGTCATTTTGACCATGACCTCACTTGAGGTGAGTCCAACATATCCACTTGGCTGCCGAATAGTTTGCTTCTCAATGGGGCAATAAGACCTAATAAGACCGAAATAGAGTTTACTAGGTGTACAACAACCTTATGTAGAGCCAAACAAAGGCAGCCAAGTGCTCCTTCCCTTCCCTTCCTTGGCCTACAGGTCACGATTCGGCCTGTAAAGGACATTCCCTTCCTTGAAGCTTCTGCCTTAAGCCCTGTCGGCCCTTGTTGGCCTCATCGCCTCAGCCGGAAGCATGTTGAGAGCTTTGAGCCGGTTAGGCTCCTTGCTGGTGGGCTATAGTAGCGTCAGCCTTCTGGACAACATCGTGTGCATGGCCTGTTCCATCTCCTTCCCCCGGAACCGCGCCGCAGTGGTGGGCTACCTCAAGGTGCCACGTCAGGAGTTGCCATATGTTTCCAAGGGCAAAGCGCCTTTGTTCAATGTGTGTGTGTTTGCTTTGCTTTGCTGAGATTTGCTTTGCTTGCTTGTGTCTTTCTTGCTTTCTTTGCTTGCTTGCTTCTTTCTTTCTTTCTTTATTTCTTTCTTTCTTTCTTTCTTTCTTTCTTTCTTTCTTTCTTTCTTTCTCTTTCTTTCTCTTTCTCTTTCTCTTTCTCTTTCGCTTTCTCTTTCTCTTTCTCTTTCCTTCTTTCTTTCTTTCTTTCTTTCTTTCTTTGTTTTTGTGTGTGTGTGTTTGTTTGTGTGTGTGTGTTTGTTAGTTTGGTTGTTTCTGCGTGTGTGGGTGTGTGTGTAAATATTAATATGGTTGTGTGTGTGTGTGTGTGGGCCTGTTTGTCTATTTTGCAAGTGGATTATCTCTCCCTGTCTCTCTTTCTCTCTCTCTCTCTGTGCATTTGTGCGTGTATGTCTCTGAGTGTTTGTGTGTGGGTACGTTCACGTTCGTGTCTGTGTGCTTGGTGCGTTTGTTTTGTGTGTGTGCGCGCACGTGTGCGTGTACGCGTGCGTGCTATCGTGCATATGTGTGTTTGGTGTTTGGTTGTGCGTGCGTGCGTGCGTGCGTGTGTGTGTGTGTGTGTCTCTTTTCTTGTTGTTTTTGTAAGCGTGTCTCTGTTTCTGTGTATGTGTTGTTTGGGTGTGCTTTTATGTTGTGTGTGTAAGTGTTTGTGTGATTTGTGTTTGGTGTATGTGTTTGTGCGGTGTTTGTGCATGTCTTGATTGGCGGCTGTGTATCTGCAACATGTTCAACATGACGCCTCAGCAATGCCGTGACCAGTCTTGTTGTGCCGACTTTTAGAGATTTCGGCTGCCAGTTGGGAACCACCATGAACCAATGAACGTAACGTGTTGATGTGCTGACCTGAAAGCATACATATTTGTACGAATACATCTCACCAAACTCGGCCCAACACGTTTATTGAATTTCTAGTCGTACGTTGGGATTGCCTGAGAAATTACCTCCGAACGTTCGCTTCGGTCAAAACGACCGTTCCTGACCTGGATGGAGCGTTTGAAAACACCATATCGCAAGCTGTTTGGCGCCCTTCCCTGGTGTTTGGTGGGTTTCCCACAAGACAGCAATCAAAAGATCCAAATACCAGCTGATTGAAAGGCTTGCTTGCAAAGCAAATGGTTTCTGGATGAATTCTTTTCCCAAAACGGCGCCGGCGCCGATCCGAGGCAGTGCTCGCCACCTCCGCAGGGATCTGGGCTCTGCTTTGGCTCCATATCTTCAAGGCCCAGGTGCCGGACCGGTTTGCATCGGGACCGGTTTGCGGGTGAGTCGGAACGGATGAATCGGCGAAAACGATGTTGGGATGGCCGAAGCCATGGGCATCCCGAAGGTCGGTTTTTCAAGTTGAAGTCAGGTCATCCCAAGTCCATTTTCGCGCGTGGGGGCCTCGAGATTTCAGGGTGTCATTGGCCTGGCTTAGGAATCAAAGGCTGACGACCAGGGGCAAGTTGAGCTGGGGGTTGCCGATCCGGAGGCAGACTTTAGGGACTTTTTGGATTGCAAGAGAATTCGGCCGGGTGGGCTGTTCTGAATCGGCGGGTGATCCGCTTGCTTTTTCGGGAAGCAAAAGCAAGAGCAAGGCATGCAGAGTCGAAAGGAGGCGATTTGCCAATTTCCAGTTCGCGGGATTCCAACCCCCTTTGGATCCGAACATAAGAGAGGGTCGTGGGGTGTGGGATTAAGCAGTGCGATACGTCTACATGTGCGCTTTGTCAATCAGGGACTGGGCAGAAGAAACCACAATTCCATAACGTTGGCCGGTATCCAAAACAGGAATGACATATTCCCTCCTCTTGGGCCAGCTAAAAGCCTGTGTTGCTTTGATGGATCTCCTTTTGCTGGTCTGGAATCCTGAACGTTTCGAGGGCCATCCAGCCCCCTACGTAGCCAAAACCGTTGTCTAGACCATCCGACACGCACTGGGCCGACAAAAGCTCACAGGATTGAGAGAAGTCGTTCGTCTTTTCGTGCTGGCTGCCATGCTAGGCCAGCCAAGCGTGTGGATTACAACGGGCCACCAACCGATTCGCCTTTCAGCCTGAAATTCACCTCACGGAAATTGCTGGTGCCTCATGTGAGCAGCGTTTTTTCTCAGATGATGGATTTTTGCTTCGTGGGGAACTCCCACAAGGTCCGCGAAGGCACTTGTGTAATACATTGTGTGCCGCGAAGCCCCGCGAAGCCAATTCGCGAAGCCCGGCAACATTCACACAGGCGAAGCCACTTTGCGAAGCCACTTCGTGGTTGGAGTGTGTTATGTGCGATCATGGCAAATGGCGAGTGTGTTGTGTGCTTCCATGGCAGTCGCATGCCAAAGGTTGATGTTTAGAGTCAGAAGGCTACGACAAGACTACAGGAAGATTACAGGAAGACTGCCGGAAGAGCACTGTGCGTTTCAGGCCCGGTTTTGCTAGAAACGATGGAACGATTTCGCGAAGCCTCCGCGAAGCCCTTCCATGCTCCGCCTTTGAGGCCCAGCCATGTCCTGAAGCTCAATGTCTCTCTTACCGCCTTCATCGCCCCCTTTCGCATGGACTTAACATGATTCAACTGCATGAGAGCGCAACCGTCAGAGATGTTTGTGGAACAAGCGTCCGCCAAGCCCGGCGAAGCCACTCCGCGCAGCCACAGTCTTGCCGCGAAGCCTCGCGAAGCCAACCCTTCCACGAGTTCTGGCCCCGCGAAGCCCCCCGCGTAGCCTCCCCAGCAGTGTATAAGCCATTATAAGCCCTGAACCTCTAAAAAAAACAATGCTCATGTTCCGTTTCGCTTCCAAATCTCCTAATTTCAAGGTGAAGCATCAGTCCCAAAGCATGGATTAGTTGTTCATCTACAGGTTTCTCGGGTTCCATATTGTTCTATGATCAAATGGATCGGCGTGATGGGCTCCCGTCGTGCCAGGGCTTGCCATGCTTCATGGCCTTCAGTGCCACGGTCTCCTTCGCCATGGGCGTGGCCTCTCTTTCCAGCATCAAGGTGCTGACCTTGGTCGGAAAGCAGACCGCCGGATGGTTTCCCTGGGATCAGCGAACCTAAACGGAGAATACTGGGTGCATGGCCAAGTTGGGCACTTCAAAGCTTGTGGCATTGAGTCGTGAGTCATAGGGGAAGAGTCTAAATAGTTGGTCGTCTTCTCATGTTTGCGCAGCCAGGGCTTTGGTGGTCTTTTTTCTGAAAGAAGCCGCGTGGATTTGTTTTAGTTTGCTGTTGGCTTGGCCAAGAATCGTCTTGTTTGCACCTTTTGGGCAACAGACGCGATGTCCAGTGGTGTCGCCTTCAACGCAAGTCGGAAACCACAAGAGCGCATGCCCATGGTGCGCAATGGTAGGGTTCAAGAATCAGAGTGGATAGGGCACACAGTCTGGCGTTGTGAAAGTTGGCGGCAGGAAAACTATAGGGTTCCTTGAGCTCTTGAAGGCTTTTCCCAGGCCGGGAGCCTCTTTGGCATCACGGACCTTTTCAGATATGCGCTGGTCGCAACTTCTGCTGTTCCGGTGCATTTATGTATGTTCTGCCTTTGCTTCGGGGGTTTGGTTTTGAGCTGGACTGATCCAGTGACAAGACGAATACATATGCCGTGCCAGTGGTAGTTTCATATTTAGATGGGTGAATGGTCATGATAATCAAAAATAGTCGCATGTAAATGCTGAACCAGTTATGCTACTTTTGTCCGGAGGTGCAACACATCATCACACACATTACATGCGTGTATCTACAAGATGCAAGCAGGTTTCCGCATGTATATATGTATATATACATATATGTGTGTGTGTGTGTGTGTGTGTGTGTGTGTGTGTGTGTGTGTGTGTGTGTGTGTGTGTGTGTGTGTGTGTGTGTGTGTGTGTGTCTGTGTGTGTCTGTGTGTGTCTGTGTGTGTGTGTATGTGTGTGTGTGTGTGTGTGTGTGTATTTTTGTATATATACATATGCACATGTCTGCCAATATGTGGGGGTATAAGACAATTCTTCAAACCAAGGAAACAACATGCTCCCGCGGAGCGCTTCATATTCATGCAGCTGTACACTAGGTTATATACCTAGACATGTAGACTACAGTTAGCACCAAAATGTTCCGACCACGAAGTTTCATATTGCATAAAGCACGGTGAACCGATATGTAAGCTAGTATCTCTTCTAGGATTTGCACCCCATATTCACTGGTACTGGTACGCACGTGAATTTGAAACGTATTCCTGTGCATCAGCTTAAACATAGTTTCCTGACCGACTCATATTTAACAAGCACTAGTATTCACACATGCCTTGGCTAGAACACCATGGCCAACATCTCACATTTACAAGTTGACCCTGTTGCTTTATACAATAGATGCCTCTCAGAACGGGAGTTGGTAGCTGTTGAGGTCACGAACAATGTTTTGGCATGTGGAATCACAATTCGCAAAAGCTGTTGACATGAAATGCTCTTGACCATCTAGAACTTTCAAGTTGGAATTGCAACAAAACAGGTTCTTACTACTGTGGCATGAGTAACACCATGCAGGCCTAGACATGCTCGAGCAATAAACCATACAAACACATACTGGAGGAACCAGTCTCTACCAAATCAAGAAGTCAATGGGTTACACTACAGTGTAATGGAAAATGCTGCACACGCAAGCAAGTTCAAGCATTACAGACAGGCATGCATGGACCTGAACAATGAAAACTATACATAGTGTGCATTCCCACAGTCCTCAGCCCTCCAAGTGATTGGAAGGGGGGCATTGCAGTGTGTACAGTGCCGAGTCTGCCATAATTGCTTGCAGAGCGTAAGGGCAAGCAGTCTCTGCCATTTGACCGCGGCTTACTGCAGTGACCAGGGTTCCCCACATAGTTCACCGTTGGTTGTTTCAAACATTACCTGTTGGAAGCGACATAGTCTGTGCTTAGTCAGCCAGGGTCCCCTAGATTTCCCTTTTTGGGTGGTTTTGAGTATTCGCTGGGCCAAGGGCCAGATTTCTTTTGCAGTGATGTTGAAAGAGGAAGTACCCTGGAGCGCTGCCCACACCTTCATCCGGAAGTGTCAGAACCTTTGCTGCTTTTGGGAGGAATATTTTTTGACCATCAGCCAGCAAGAAGAGGGGCCAAACATATCCATGAATTGCCAACGTGAGGAGCACGTAACTTTTGGAAGCCCTTTTCAATAGCTTGGGCCCAGGCGTCAGAAAACGCAACCCGTGCCAATCTCTCTGTGAGTGACTGGACAATCGCTGCTTTTTGTTCGGTGCTTTTTTGGAGCGGGAAAGAGTCTGATCTCAAAGCCCACGACCTCAATGAGGGTCCAATGCTTGCACTCACACCCGAGGTGCTCCCGGAAGGTCCAGCAAGGAGCGAAGGTGGAGGGTGGAGTCGGATACTGGAGTCTCCATGACCCTGATGAATGGGGGCATGACCCCGTGAGTGTTGTTCTCCATCTATCGACAAATTCCGGCCTTATACTGACAAATTGTCTGCCCAGGTTTACAATTGAGCAGCCTTGATGTTTTTGACCTCCATTTTGCCTTTGGCTGCACGACCTCAACACACAGGTCGGGGGTCGGAAAAAGGTGCCCCCTTGTGTGTGTGCTTGCTTTGGTTCACCTCAGGGGGGCGTTGAACACCTGGTTCTTGTTCTCCTCACAAGACTAAGGTTTGGGGTGCGTCAACACAGTCGAAAAAGCGGGTGGAAATGGGAGACCAGCCCGCCAAACCAGTCCAAACCATTAGGTCCATAAGAGTGACATCCCCAAACCATTCCCCTCTCAGTGGCGTATTTTAATTTGACCCCCCCCCCCCCCCGCCAAAGAAAAAGAATGAGTAATCTTGAGAACCTGTCAAAATCTTCATGGGACCCTACGGGAAGCTGATCCAGGAGGCCCTTCACCTCCACGGACTTGGCCCGCTTCGCCTTGCCGCTGCTCTTCCTGGCGCTCTTGTCGAGCTTCGACGTGGCGGCCAGCTACATGTACTCCCGAGGCGCCGCCTCCCAGTCTCCAGACCCGGCTCCGAAGAGTGCCTGGCGGTCTGCTTCCTGTGTGGTGGACACATTGGTGGAACCTGAGAAAAATTGAACTACTGTAGACCTTTCAAGTCAACATTTGTCTCACCGTCTCTGAAGGGTCATCACCTCTTTTGGGTGTGCATTTTTTGCAATATATCCCCTTTCATCCAGGAAAGCCACAAAGAGCCACCCCCCCGGGTGTTTTCCCCATGTCCAAGCCCCAAGTCCGCAAAGCAGTGGTTGGGACGGCGCCGGAGGCACCCCTTTCGCTCGGAGGCACCATCTCCTCCAGCCCACGGGTGGCTTATGTGGGTGTGGCCTTGCAGATCGCCCCAATGCTGGTGCTACTCACCGCACCCCAGGCGCACGAGTGAGCGCCCCATCAGTTTTACCCGAACCAGCCATGCCTTGAGACCCTACCAGGTACGCAAGAGCAACCCTTGGAAGCTTGTCCTGGAACCCGGATTCCTCCCGGAGCCTGCCAGAACCCAGCAGAAACCTATGAAACCACTGCTCCACCAACCCATTTGGACCTGGCCTGCTTCCAACTGACAAATTTGGAATACACTCATCTCCCTGTGGGACCGGGGTGAACTTGCAGAGCGTTCCAGATCCACGTCAGTTCTGCTGACCACTTTCAGGGGAAAGAAGGGTACTGACTCAACAACGAATGACAGGCTCCCTTGCAGGATACAGTAGCACCAGCCAAAGAGTCTGATTCAAGGATTTCCTTGTAAAGCAGCTGCTTTTTGGATGTAATCTTTCAGGAACCGATTTCCTGGCGGCTCCACCTGGTCTCATGGAGTTTGGTAGTACGTGTGACAAGCTTTGTTCGCAGGTAGAACTAAAGGTGAATTGGCATGGGTCAAAATGGGGGGTGGTGCCTTTGTTTCTTTGAACCAAGCTGTAAAGGGTAGCGAGCCTCAAAACCACATCCAGGTGGGGGGGGGGCAGGATGCCAAAACTGATCCGGAATTTCTTGAAGGCCTGGAGAGCGTTTGCCAGAGGGATCTCACCTAGTACTTTTGGCCAAGGCCCTTTACATGTATGGTAGGTAGCCAAGGGAGCCACCCTTTCAAAACCAAAAGGACAGTTGCTGGTTGCCCACTCGCTTGGACACCTTGCTGTCTTGCAGAGGGGCAAAACTGCTTGTCTTCAACTTGTTGGCTGATTTTGACTCACTGGATTAGCACATCCTGAACCCACAGAAATCAAATACTTTTCCGTGGCCTTGCGTTTCAAGAACCCACAGCCCAGCATTGCCTCGATTTGCTTGACCTTTATTCCCTTTTGCTTCGCAACCAGCGTAATGGTCAGAACTGCCGGCCGCGTTGAGCATCCCGAAATAGGGACTCCCTGAAGTCCGCGACCGGTTTTGGCCGGAACCAGCCGTTTGTGAAACATTGCGCCCAAAAAAAACTCCTGCCACTATAGTTCCTCTTTGGCGTCAAGACAGTCACTTTGCCTAATTATGACATCGAGGGTTTTGAGGCGGCGCTGTGGCAACATCAAGTTTACGGGGCAATTGGTGCAGATTGGCGCAGTTTGAGCTGCTGCGCACCAGCCAGAGAATCACAGCACCGCTCTTACCGCTCTTGGAACTCCAATATTTGGATCGCGTAACTGAGCATGCCCAAGTTTGCGTCGCACAATAGATAGCTAGTGAACGATGGTTTTGTATATAGTGTATTGAGCGTAAACCCGAAGCATGTTGCAGCGCGTAGCCCAAGATTCCAATATCGTGATTTCAGGAGTGCGGAGCTATCCTTCTGAGCATGCTGCGACAAGATCTCGTCGTTGAAAATACATTGAGGCTCGAGAATGAGCAGTCCTCAAAAATAGCGTGAACTTACCGTGAAATTGCCGTGAAACTACCGTGAAACATTTTCTTTTGCCGTGAAATATCGCTTTTGGCCGTGAAATCGAAACGACATGTAAATTAGAAGCAACAAACACTCAAGAACTATATAATCCTGTTTTGATAGTTTGGACGTTGGTTCCTTCCTAGTTTGGCGGTGCCCTCACGCACGGTAGTTTTATTGTTCGCACATCTAGTTACCTGCGCGCAGGCAAAGAAAGCACCTGATGTGGATGATTTGCGTAGCTCCAACTCTGCGCAACAGATGCATAGCTGGTTATTTGGCTAGCTCAGCCAATTAAAGGTTAATCATGTGGCTGGTTTGTTCTGTTATTATGGCATCAATCAAATTTGGTCTAAGGGCAAAGCATGATTTATGATTTTTTGCCACTCCTCCACCTATTCTTTTGGCAGTTGTGGTTGTGAAGCAAGGTTTGAACAAAAGCATTTTCTTAGAGGAAATTAGTTTTTCTATAAATTCCGTAATACCGCTTTTGGAGCTCTTTTGGCTGTTGGTTTGACAGGCCATTTAAGCGGGGTACTTTGACTCACCGTCTCAGAATTAGGGCACTGTTGCACTCACGGCTAGCGAGCTATATTTTTGCCTATATGTTTGCCGACGCAGTGCCGCACACAGGGTGTTTCCAATAAGCAGTCTCCTCCAACTGCCGGGTTTGCCCCCACATTCTCCCCTTGCATTTCATTTCAAGGACGGTGTCCCAATTTCACCCCGACTGCGCTTTGGGCCCTGTGCCTCGCTCAATTATTTTTAAGGGGTGCAGTCAAACTCTCCCCAAAAGGTGGCAACCAAACCAACCTCACAGGGTGTGACAACTTGCTCCCTGCTTATTCCTTGGGGCGCCACGTGCGCCTATGTTGGGGATTCCGTTTGGGAGACAAATGTGAGGAATGCGCGTATCAAACACGAAAGCAGCCCGATTGGTTCGATTCCATTCCACAAACGTAAGCACAACCCAATCGGTTTCATCTACAGAAGCAAACAACCTGACGATAGAGATCATGAGAAGGAAGAAAACAATGAACAACATGTTGGGTTGACAAGGGGGGGAGTTGCCCAGACTTTCATGCTGACCCGCGCATGGCGATCCTCAGCGTGTTCGCAGCTGTCAGGGGGGGGAGGGGGGGATGGGTAGGTGGGTGGGAAGATGGAAAGAACGGGGGTCCATGTTTCAAACATGTCGAGGCCAATCCGTCTGAAACTAGTCAATCCCGAACCCGCAGCCCACCCGTCATGCGACTTCCCCGTTATCTGTGCGTTGTACTCTCGCTACTTTCCTTTCCCAGGGCAGGAAGATTCTACCAGCAAGTTATCAGCGCAGCTCATGAGAATGACTTGTCTGCTATGTATGCGCACGGGCAGCCTGCAGTCCTGCTTTGAAGACACAAGCCGGCTGCACAGCAGCCATGCTTCGAGCAAATAGAAATGCTGCGCCTGCCATCTCCGATTCGAATATGCGAAGTTGGACATCTGCAGGCTTTCCTGTGATCGCACCGAAGCCACGATTTACTGCTACTTGCATAGGATTTGCACCATTCCCAATCCACGTCCGAGAGTGACCGCCATTCGGTCCGGGCAACCCCCCCCCCGAACCCAACATGTTGTCTCCATTGAATTCTTTCAGCCGTCCAAAGTCCCACCCCGTACTGCTCAATAAGCCGTTGTGTTGGTACGGAATCCTCGTATCAGGAGCACATGGACAGCGCCAACTCGAGCTCCAGCAGCGCAGTGCTGAAAGGCATGTCCTTCGGTGAGGCGGCCTGCGGCCTGGACTTTTGGCTCCTTTGGCGCCTCGGACTCAGGAAGGAGCTCGAGCTCGATAGGTGGAACCCTGAAAGCAACGGTTTTGCTTTTGGGTTTTCCCCAAACAGTTGACTGTTGGGATTCTTACCCTAAAAGAACGGGCCGCATGCTGCCAAATCGCCGGCCACATGCCTGCCAGTACGCGCATTTTCTTGTCTCCCAGTATAGTGCCTTCAGTTGTCCCCCAGTACTGCTAGATCGCTGGGCCGCATGCTCGCCAGTGTGCATTTACTTGTCTCCCAGTATGTGCCCTCATTTGTCTTTCAGTGCTACCAGATCGCCGGGCCGTATGCTCGCCAGTGTGCGCATTTACTTGTCTTCCAATCCGCGCCTTCATGCTTGCCAGTTTTCACATCTACTTGTCTTCCAGTATTTGTCTTCATTTGTCTCCCTGTGCTGCCAGTGTTGCCAGATCGCTGGGCCGCATGCCAGCGAGCGCGTTTACTTGTCTCCGGAATGTTTCAAGGCTGGCAGATTGCCGGGCAGAAGCTCGCCAGTGCGCGCAAAGACTTGTCTCCCAGCATGCGCCTTCATTTGTCTCCCAGTGCTACCAGATCGCCGGGCCGTTTGCTCGCCAGTGTGCGCATTTAATTGTCTTCCAGCATGACCCTTCATTTCTCTCCCACTGCTGCATGCTCGCCAAGTGTGCGCATTCACTTGTCTTTCAGGATCCAGGTTGCCGGGGCGCTTGCGCTATTACTTGACTCCCAGTGTGTGCCTTCATTTGTCATGCTCGCTGCCGGGCCGCATGTCCGCCAGCGTGCGCATTTACTTGTCCCCCAGCACGTGCTGCCAGATCGCCGGGCCGCATGCTTTGCCAGCGTGCGCATTTACTTGTCTCCTAGCATGTGCCTTCATTCGTTCATTTGTCCCCCAGTGCTGCCAGATCGCCGGGCCGCATGCTCGCATGCTCGCATAAGCTCGCCTGCCGTCGGGGCACAAGCGTGTTCGAAGTTCGCGCAGGCGAGTAGCCATTGTTGGCGCCAAAAGGTGTTCCTTGTTGGCGCACAAGCGTGCTCACTGTCGGCGTGCAAGAGTGTTCCTTGTTGGCGCATGAGCGTGTCCACCCTCGGCGCACAAGAGTGTTTGTCGTTAAGGCAGCGTGTTCACCGTCGGCGCAGAAATGTCGTCACTGTTGGCGCAGAACCGTGTCCACTGTCAGCGTGCCCACTGTCGCCACACAAGAGTGTTCCTCGTTGGCGCATCATCGTATCCAACGTAGGAGCGCACAAGTGTTCATCGTTGGCGCACAAGCACTCCCCGTCGGCACACAAGAGTGTTCCTTGTTGGCGCTAACAATGTTCGTGCGCAAAATGTTCATGATTGCTGCACGCAAGCGTGCCCACTGTCGGCCCACAAGAGTGTTCCTTGTTGGCGCATAAGCCTGTCCACCGTCGGCGCACAAGATTGTTCCGTGCTAGCGCATCATCGTAGCCAGGGTCGGCGCACACAGTGTTCCCTCTTGGAGCACAAGCGTGTTCATTGTCTCCGCGCAAGGGTGCTCCAAGAGGAAAACAATTTTGGGCGGTCCCCAAGAAGACACACATTCTGTGTTGGCTTGACCCGCGTAGTCCATCATTGTGTTCTTACAATCTGTTTGGCGTCTACGCTGGTATAATTTTCCGTGGTCCTTGGAACATGTCCGATTGTTGGCGCCAGGGTTGTATAGTCTGATTCGGTTTTGGAAGGGTCCACCTGTAACATTGTAGGGTTTAAGGTCATTTGGTTTTGGACGGCTTAGGGTTTTCGAGAATTGGTTTTGGACAGGGCTGGCTGCTCTTCTGAGTTGGAGCGAGTTGGAATGACGTTCCATTTCTGGGGGTTAAAAGCCCTTGAACTTCCCTGAAGAGCAAGACGGTGTTGGCCTGGCCCTTGGCTTCCAGGGACTGAACCTCGGAGGGGCTGGCTGGTGTTTTTTTCGGCGCCCCGAAGCCTAGCATCCCAGCCCAGCCCTTGTTCCAACGTTCTTGTGCGTAATTTGATGGTTTTGGCTGCTTTCCAGTTGTGTTGCAGCCATGTCGTTTGTTTGCTGTCCCTTCTCGAGTGGTTGAATCACTTCCCTCTATAATTCGTGCGCCTTAGTAATAAGTAATATTTGTTTCCACCTGCTAACAAATGAAAGCCAGCAACCAACTCCAGCCGCATCTGTTTGCATCTTTGTTCGCTCAAAGGCGGTGCTGCTGCTGTTCCTACAATGGTGCGTAAAGCATCATTGAAATCTATGTCACCCATGGTGCTTGTGCAAATGCATTTATACAATTTGTATTTATATATGAGTTAGCATCAAAATTACCGTCATGTACTTTATATGGGGGTGTTTCATGCACGTATTGTGTTTGCGTTGTTGCTCGAAAAACGATACGGGACGTCCAAAAAAACGATACCCCTTCAGCAAGTTGGCATTGGTTGCAAACAAAAATGTCTTGTTAGTTTGTGTGTTCTCCTAGAGCATGTGTTTATTTGCTTGGTCGAGACTTGCAACTAGGCCCTTCCTCTGCAAGGGTTGCAGGGCAGGGGGATCAAAAGGGAACTTCACATTTGGAGCACCAGCTGGCTTGTGACAAGACACGTGTGGCAAAAACAAGCTGTGCTTGAACGGGGCGAACGTTTCTAGCATGTGTCCACCACATTGCAGGGGTAACTGCCGGCCAGCAAAAAGCATTACGAGTTGTAGTTGGGCAAAAGTCTTTCTTGCAGCGTTTGCATTTTTGAAGGGGATGTAAAAGTAGTTCTCCGTTCAGTCAAGGAAGTTTAGAAGGGGTGCAACTGTAGTTCTCCGTTTGGTCAACGAAGTTCAGAAGGAACTTGCGCAACACTGGAACTAAATGAGCGAGCTCTTTCGAAGAATGCGTGCATCTGCACTCTGCGCATGAAAAAGCTACGAAAAAGGCTAGAAAGCACGAGAGCTGGAGGGTGGAGCGTCCATAGACGGAAACCAAGACGGCAGCTATGCATTCTGAGGATGTCCCACTGGCTTGCCCTTTTGCTGGCCACGCAAGGTGCTTGGGAGGTTACCTTTCTTCGGCCGCAAGCAAACTGCAGGGCTGCATTTTGCACGCTCCAGCGCTTCTCTGAGGCTCCTTAGAGCGGAAGTAAGACAGTTGTCAAACAGCGCCGCTTCGAGAAAAAACCGACCACCAAAACGATACCCCAAAACGATACCCCGACGATACCCCCGCAATGGGGCAGGATGCTAAATGTCGGGGGTGGCCCACTTGACACCAAAGCGCTACCCCTACAGTTACGAGGAGACACACATTTGGGGGTGGCTTGTGAAGGAACTGCAATGCTGGAGGGCAAGGATTGTAATGCCAGGAATTGCCAGGCAGCCTCGCAGCCGTGCAGCCACAAACCGGCGGCGCTGGGCTGACACAGGAAGAATCACGATGGGTTGAGGAGTGCGTGTTGAGGAGAAGTGGAAAGCTTTGACCCAGGAGGGGCAGCATGCTCGCATAGAGAGAGCTGCCTCGGCTCCAAAGGCTGAGCCGAACAGCGCGGAAAAGCAATTGTCAAGGTGATCGCGAAGGCGAGAAGGTGAAGAAGACCACCGCGGTGAGGAAGCCAGCCTCGCGGCTCCAGCGCCGGCGGTGCCGCGGGGGCGTGACAAGCATCTTTGGACGCAGCCTCGTCCTTTCTCCCCAAGCGGCTGCACGTGTGCCCTGGGTGTGAAGCGAACAACCCCAGCTCCAGCAGCCAAGCGGGTGAGGAACTACATGGACGCAACACTGCGTGAGTTTGCTGGCACGCCGACTTGAGGAGGCAACGAGATGAGAGAAAGCGTGGCGGACCCAGCAAGCGGGGAGAGCTGGTTGACAAGAGGTGCAAAGCTAGGCAAAAGCAGCGGCGCAACAGCCGTTGGAGGAGGACTCTGTGTCAAGTGCAAGTTCCTCCTCCTCAAGTCTGAGGGGGACTAAAAGGAATCTGCGGCCCGTGGTGTGAGTTGCTTTGCTTGCAGGGATTGCGCTTTGGCCGCCGTGTGGCTTTATACCGGGGAACGCCTGCTTGTGGGAGCTTCCATTCCGTTGCTGTTTCGTTGGCGCTGTTCCCGCAAAGAATCGTTTGGTAGCAAGCACGGGGGCAGGGATGTGTCCCGTATCCACGGCCTGCAAAACGATACGGGACGTCCTTTTTAAGCAAAACCTGTAAAACGATACGGGACGTCCTAACACCAGATGAATACACCCCAGACAAGTAATTTTGACGCTGTCTCATATAAATATATATTCTCCTCCATACGTATACATATTTATATAACAAACAGTTTCACATATTTGTATATACGTATATATATATATATATATATTCAAGGTGGTTGCGTGAATTGAATGCGCTTGCATTGGGAGTCTATGGCAGGCCGTCCCTGTTTCCTGGTGAAGCTTGTCAACAATCGATTTTGGCAAGAGAAGCTTTGCCCAACTTCGCCAAAGTTGTTCCATGTCCGGTGCATCTCGGGCCCGATGCCTTTGGCCCCGCGATCCGAGGCTGATCCAGTTTGGCCTCTTTGGCGCTGGGGTGGCCACCAACCAAAACCTCGCCTTGATCTTGGAGAGCGCCCACAACGTTTCCGCCGCAGGGCTGGGGGTCGCTTTGTTCGCGTTGAGCTCCTCGCTGTCCCGGGTGGTCACCGGCATTTTGAGCCCCTGGGCGGAATTCGGCCGCAGGGCTTGGGCAGCCAGGCATTGAACACATGCCGAATGGCAACAACCAACTTTCAATCGGGGGGGCTATTTGCCACAGCATGGATTGGGTGTTTGATTTCCGGTGTGAATGTGGGGTGGTTGCTGGGGACAAATTGGGGACTGATGTCACCAAGCCTGCTTTGTTGCAGATGATGAGTTTCGCCGACCGATTCAATGCCTGGCATTTGTGTGTGTGTGTGTTTGCGGGTTTGCAAATGGCGGCGCCATACAAGGCCCCCCTGCCTGACAACGAGCAATTTGGCAATGAGCCTACAAAAGCAGTTGCTAGAACCATGTGAGCTTCCATCCATATTGCAAGACACTGAACAAACTGGAATGAGCCAAGTCAAACATCAAGCGCAGTGCAAGCTTACAAAGCGGCTTGATTGAGCGCATGACCGACATGCATTTTGTTGGGGAAATCCCAAACTAAATGTGACAACATACATCTTGGGATCAATTTGGGATCCTGGTCCTCCAGTTTACGAGAGCTTGTAAAAGGACCCTGGTTCTTCCCGGTGGGTACACGTGTTTTGATTTGTTTATTGGCACTACATCATGTTTTGGTAGGATGGGATTGAAATCATACTGGACAACAGTAGTGCTCACACCTTTTCCACCCCTCACGATTTGTGATCTGAGGCGACAAGTACAATGCGCACTTCAGTCGCTTCAATTGGATCACGTCCCTGACTTGTTTGGCTGCTTTGAGCCAGTTTCTCGTGAGCGCCATGGACGTGTCCAGCGCCTTTCGCTCAACCTGTTCGTCCTTTCGCCCATGTTGTGTGTGGTTTAATGAACATGGGGGTTGCTTCACCCGAGAACAATTTGTTTGAAAGCATCCACCTAGCTGCGAAACAGTTTGGCAATCTTGGACTTTCAGCAAAGATTGTGTTCATGGTGCCAGTTTGTGAAGTCTATTTCAGTTTCAGTCATGTGAAAGCAAGGCAACCCTATTTCTGACTTTGATAACTCTAGGCCTCGTCAACATCTGGGTGACATGGGTGTGTTGCGCAAGCTTAGGCTGCTTCGAAAGTGCTCCCATGAAAAAAGGACTCATTGTCCTGGAAATACTTGAGAGGTCAGCCTTGCAGTGGAGCCTTGAGTGAAATGGGTCAGTGAAAAACCCAAAGATCAACGTCGATTCGCTTTGGCTTAGTCTTGGGGGAAAAGGGTTCGATTTCACAGGACTCGAGGTGTTTGGCCCAGCCGCGTTGCACACGTCGTTCTTGAAGAAGGGGAGTAGAGCAAAATTCCAGGTATTTAGAGCCTACCCGTCACCCCAAGGATCCACGATTAAACCCATGTTTGTGTTTCCAACAGGAATGGCCCACGGCTGGCGCCTAGTGGCCGAAAGGAGCGTGGACGGCACCACTTGGGTCCTTTTGAGCATTTCACTTCAAAGGTTTCGCAAAAAGAGGATCGCACAACCCTCACGCCAACTCCATAGCATGCCGCTTACGAGGAACGAGACCCTCATCGAAATCAAGGGTTCTGCTTCCGGAATCCCCAGCCCCATTTTGCACCCATTCAGTGGCACTGATCAAACCCAGAGACACCTCCCTCTTGTGTTGACTACTCTGGGGTCATTAGGCATTCTGCTCGGGACCTTGTTGATGGGCCTCTCCTTTGGCTCCTTCTTCACCATCATAGTGCCCCTGGTCAACGAGCCGCTCGGCCAGCTCGCATACGTCGGAGGGCATGGGTCATACGAAAATGGCGACACCGGCTGGAGCCATCCTCAAGAGACGATTTCATAAAGGCAACCATTTGTGAGGCATTCCGGCCTTTCATGTATTCCCCGTGTTGCAAGGCAGGGAATCCTGATTTCCATGGTATGTTACGCCAAATTGCCGCTCTTGATGCTTGGTTTATGTGGACATGCGGGAGTGTGCCTGCGTTTGTGCGGGGCAGATGTCAGACGTGAGGCCCTCTTGTGGCCAACGTGAAGGCAACATCTGCAGCCTGCCCCATTCTGCCCCCATTGACCCATTTGTCTGGACGAAATGCTGTGACCAAGTTTGACCAGGGTGCGTTTCCTTGGGCGATCATGCAGTTCAGGAAAGTCCCAACGCTGTGTCAAGAGATGATTTGTTCTGTGCCATCCCTCGCCGTGCCACCAAAACACTCGTACCTGATGCTTTGCGCCACTCGCTGCGCATACCAGCAAGCCCCCAGGGTGTTCAAACAAACATGGCAAAGAAGGGCGTTTTTCGTGCGCACTTGCACCTTGGTGGCTGGGAAAAGCTGGCTCATGACCAGTTAGCGTGGCAAGCGCCTTAGTTACAATTACGTCAACCTTGCTTGTTCTTAGGGGGTATGGGAGAAAGTCGTCGAAGCATTCCCTACAACATCGATGATCATCTTGAATTTTCAATTTTTGGTCACTCCCAAATTCCCTACTACAAGCGTGCTTTTCTCCAAGACTACTTCTATTGGGATAGTTTAGGTACATTTCAACCATGAAGCCGGATGTTTGAATTCTGAGCCCGAGATGATCCCTTTGAACGAACTACCGAGCCACTGGGGTGAGCTCGCCGAGGATGTACGGCGGGCTGCACTTCGGGAAGCTCTGGGGCACGCAGCTGGCCTCCCAGGCTGCGGCCGCTTTGTCCATATGCTGCGCCATGATGCCGTCCTTCTACCGCAAGGCGGCGGCCGGCGAGGACGGGCCTGTGACGCATGGGAACCCCTGGTTGGGTTGTCTAACCCATACAAAATAGGGGGTGTCACCCACAAAAGTGAAGGAGCAGTAAACCCGATCGCTGGAATTTGGAGCGATTCAAAATGTGGAAACCCATGGAGGTGCTTTGGGGGTTTCACTTCTCACTTCAGCTGTTGGGATTGTAAACAAACGCAGTCAAGATTTGGGAGAGGCAAGGCAAAACTTACTTAGCTTCCGCCGCAGAATCCCGGGGCATTCCAAATTATCTAATTAAAGAAAACCTGGCCCATCCCCAGACCCGCAGATACTTACATCTGTCATACAATGTCATACATCTGCATGTGTTTGTGTGAAACATGTGGGCCCCCCAAACAAAAGTGGTGTTCGTGTTGGTTTCGCATCAACCCAACCGAACCTGAAAAGGGTACCTTCAAGGAGGCACAAACTCACATATATGCAGATTATGATTAATATGTATGTATATGTGTATGTATATATATATATATATAGGTGTTTTGGTTGTTCGGCGTCTTTTTGCATTTTGCGGGCAAATTGCGATTAATGTGTGAAACGAGGTGGGGTTTGGGGGTGGCAGTGCGTGTTAAAATATATGTGGGGTATGTGAAAATAGGCAAATATAGATTCGAAATTAATTAGATGTGTGTGTGTGTGCGTGTGCGTGCGCCACTGCTCGAACACCTTTGTTGGGGGTTTAAAAGGCATCATCACCAAGACTGTGTCCGTTTTTGGAGCTAAGGAATAGGTTCCTGCGAACGCATGCGCAGAAAGTCGGTCGAAGGCTTGAACCTTTGTAGAGAAGCACCGACTGCACATAGGACTCCAAAACGGCCATCAATTGGCTTCAAACGACATTGAGCTATTCGAATGCCGGGTCACGTGGGGGCCTTGAAGGAAGTTTGCTACGGGGTATGGTGCTACAAGACGTCCTTCCTGCTGCTTGGAGCATTGAACGCCATCGGCTTTGCGGCCGCGGTTCTCTTGCAGGCCCCTCTTCATGGCAGTGCACTTGCAACTGATCCCCATGAACATGTGTGCGGTGAAGAGTGAAAGCGCCTAATGACCATGACCCACATAAGGAGTTTTGACAATTTAGCATGGCAGCAATTCTTGCCGGAGTTTGCCCGGGGTGCCCTTCAAATGCTGGCCTTTGGGTTCATCAGGTCGACGTTTCGAAAGGCCTCAATTGAACGGGGCCATACTTTTGGCAGCCCCCCGAAATCTTCAAGGGGGGTGTACCTGATTGAACATGCTTGCCCGCCTCTGTTTGGCCATGGGGTCACACACCCAGTGCACCCCACCAAGCCACCAAGCAGCGTATAGGCCCCAGAAAACACCGAACGCAGGTTCCCCATTGGCCCATGCACAGCCGAATTCGGCGACCAGGCGAGGAACCGGGACTCGATGCCTATGACCAGAACCAAGTGACGCGCGCAAACTGCCGCGCGGTTGCCATCGATGTCGCATCGGCCTAAAGCCGACGATGAATTGCTGGAGTTCTTCAAAAACGATCCACCGGAGCCAGATGGATGTCCCCTGTTCCAGTGTTCAACTGCTTGAATTGCTTTTGAACAACCCAGCTAGAGGTCGCATCCGATGCCTTGCGGCTGCAAATGCCTTCACCTGTGAACTGCGCCAAGTGCTTCCAGCGGGCGCTGGAGCGAGCTGTTGGACCTGGCGGTTGAGAAAAATCAAACAGCACCACTTGCAGCTGGAGCTTTCATGCAAGAAACGCGGTCATGGCAACGGATGTTCGCGATTGGTGTCGAAAGCTTGAGTGAATGCCCTGTTTTCCAAGCATGTAGGGCAATCAAAGTTTCCCGATTGTGGATCTAGAAGCACGTCTGATCCAACCAGTGTGTTGCAACGGGTCAATGAAATTTCATACCTACGGTAGAGGAAGTGCATTGATCCAAGTCCTCAGGCGGTGACACATTCAGCCGGGTTTCGGGGGATAGGTTTCGGCCAGTGACACAAGTGCCCGGTGAGCACCCGGCGAGTGGCGATGCAGGTGCTGGCTGCTTGGGCGCATGCAAGTCATGCAGCTCCAGCAGTCGCTTTGCTGAAGCCCACGGTAGCCCTTGGCTCAGTGGCTGCAAAATGAAAGGAGGTTTGCACTCATTGGCCCATTGCTCGCTTTCAGGCTTCAATTTACAGCAACTCCCACTGGTTTTCTCCAGTGAGCGACCCCCGATTTGGACATGAAGGGCAGAGCCGTCATCACTGCGTGTTTCGGTGCGGAATCGATTCTGACAACCCGGGTTTGCCAAGGGCAGGTGAATCATTCCAGCTGGTTTCGACCTATTTGAATCAATCAAGTGCACGCCTTGCATGGTGGAGGTTATCGCATTCATCCAGCACACAATGGCACACCTGGCACTGCAACAAATTGTCGTGCTCCCCAACAGCGAAGCTCAAGTCGTCGGCCGGTTTGACTTTTGCCTCCTTTGACTACAAGGTCTCCATTGCAATCTGCGTTCGAAGCCGCAGGCTCCATTGCGGAAATTCGGCTTTCGCCTATCCCCTGAAGTCCCTTTGGTAAATCAAGAGTCGTGCCCCCAGCCCCCCAAAGAAGTGGGCACAAGGCCAGGGTTCCTATACCCTTTTCTTTGACATCACCTTTTGGACCAGTTATTGTCGTGACCTCCCTTGAAAGCTCAGTTTCTCACCCCAGGTGCGTCTGGCACATCGTCAGGCCAGGGCATATCAAGATTTGCCGAACGGCTTCGAGCTGGGAATGAGATCGCTAAGGTCCTTTGCTTGGGGATCCTGATTATTTCAGGTTTAAGGTATTCTTGTGAGCTATGCAGAGGTTTGAGTGCAACTCGCACTTGTTGCCGGCTTGAACTGAAATGACCAATGGAAGGTACATTGTAACACAGCTGCTTTAACGTGCGATCCAGACGTAATGTTTCTTTTGAGCACTTTTGCGAGGTTGGTGGGGGGGGGGTAGGGGCACCTGATGAGCGACATGTAGCGTTGACACCTCTATCGGCGCCCTCTCAATGTTCCAATGGACACTCCTCGGCACGCATGCTTTACAATTCTCAAGTTGCAGAACCGACTCATGATACGTGGGTGATCTGGCCTTGCACCATACATACAGTCACTTAGGATGCCAAAGAGCAACTTAATCTGCAAGTTGACTCGATTTTCTGCAGCAAGTGGGGAGGCGATCTTGCTTGGGCCGACATTTTGGGCATTGCACTGAGGACTAAGGTTTAGGCGCGAGCGTGTTCCATCACCTCGCTTGCCCAGTACCCCCCCCCCATTTTTTGAGATCAACCAGCGATGGTGTTCCTTCTTGTGCAAGCTGACAAGCTGCAAGTTGGGAGCACGGCTTGCGCAGCCTTCAAGCGCGCACTAAGCAGGCGCCATGGTGACTCAATCAACTCCCCGTGGTTCCTCGATTGGTCTTGTTTGGACCTCCAACGGTGGCGATCGTTTCAATGGACCCCACCCGAAAATTGATCAAGGTTTGAAGGGGCCACCAGTCTCCTGTTTAGCCAAGTTAGGTTGAACGGCCCAACAAACCCAATTTGTGGCGCCTCCTTTCGCGGAGGCCTGGGCGCCCGACGCGAGGCAAGGAAGTCACACTGTGGATGTTATATTATGGTCTCATGGGCGGCTGGCAATGCTGTACCCCTTCTAGGTACGCGATGTATGAACATCACAAATTCAGTATAATATATACAATATAAATGAAAGATTGCTTCAGGACCCTCGTTCGAACCCGGGGAAGGCGGCTGAAAAGCTGTGGAAGATAGCCCGCATGCCCAGGCGAGGTCAACCCCGTCATTGACCCTGGCGTATGCTTTTCGCCAGGGTTTCTTGCGTTTGGTTCAATGCGGACCAAGATGAGGGTCGATGCGCCCTGTCTTTTTGTGGGGTTGCGCAACCTGATGAACCTGACTGGCAACCTGACGAGAGCAGCCTGTCATTACGTTGTGAATCTTCAACTATCATCACTCAGGAGCCGAAGCAATCGCACAATGGGGAAACATGGCTGAAGACTTGTGAAGGATCCGGAGGTTCTGGGGCTTCCTGATTCTGCACTGGAGACCTGAGGGAACTGCTGTTTTGACCATCATGGTGTGTCTACGGGAAAAGCCATACGGCCTGTGGCAGCAGAACAAGTCGAGACAGAGTCTCCAAACCGCATTTGAGGCCACCTACCAACCCGTGGGGTTTTTGTCAACCTAGGGAACCCCAAACTGGCGAAACTGGATGGTGTGCCATTGCTCCTATTTGCTTCCGCACATGCCCGATGTTTGGTGCATGATTTATCCAGGAATCATCAGGAGTTCTGATGTGACATCCCCTGACGTGATTCTCCGATCCCAAGCTATCCAGCATTGTGGCTGAGAGGGGGTTCCGCAGGAGCGAGACTCGCATCACCTCCGTGGTGATGGCTGCGCTCTTGCAAGACACAGATAGCTGGGACCAGGCGAAGCAAGTTCACCGGTGCTGGCCATCTCCTGCCTTGAAGTCGGCTACGGTGGTGGGCTAATCATGCTTAAACAGACGTGTTTTTTTTGGGGCAGGTGTCAACAAGGGGCCATACAGTGAACTAAGTGTCCCAGAAATGCAGTGAAGGGAAGGGGTGCTGATAGGGCCACCCTTGAATCCGTCATGCCAGTTGACCAATATATGTTCAACCAAGCGATTTTGTTACAACCGCCCTCATCGAATACAAAGCAGAACCTTTTGGCTGGGCCTTCTTTTGGCGGACTTCTTTCCGAGGCTTCATGTCGCGAAAAGATGGGCCATTCGAAAAGAGATCGGACTGAAAGCCAACCACCTTTGGGTCACAGTATCTGTGGTTTTGGGTTTGTAGGGTCTTCTGTGTGAACGCCTAAAAAGCTGTTGCTTTCGCGTTTTTAGGGGTCACATCCGGATGCCCAGCCCGGCCGTTCCGGCACTTTAACCCCAAGCAAGTTTTCGCAATTCGCGGCCTGGAAGGTTAGTTTGGCACCTGGGCCAAGTGAAGGGAGAGTTTGACCAAAGTAATCCTCCCATCAGAATCTGGTGAAAGGTGTGGAAAGCTAGTTACCTAAAGGGGCCAAGGAAGTCCAGATCAGAATCAGTCAGTCTTCCCCAAAGGAATACCTCCGGCAAGCTTCCATTCGGAAAGGCGGTTTGCATCGATGCTTGGCCGCCTTTGTTGCGAACGGGTCATCAAGATCCTAATTTGGGTTTATAACCTTATTCGTTACCATACAGCGGCGGCCAAGTGGGGTTGAAGGTTCTACTGGATGTACATTTTATGATACAACTGTTCTTTGCATAGTTTTTTA